CGTCACGGGAGCGGGGCAGGGAGCGAGGAGCGTGTCGTGCGACACACGAGGAAGGGCGCAAGGGAGGAAGTGCCTTCCGGCGGATTTTAATTTTGCGGGCGTTTATTTGTGGCTTTTGCTTCTTTCCTCGGCGAATGCAGTGAGCAGCCGTCAGCCCTTCGGTTTCTGACGCGCTTCCAGAGCCAAGAGCGCCCTTCAGTGCGCGACGCTAGATGTGAAAGAGATCACAAAGCGGGAGGGATGGGTGGGAAGCACCACTGATTACAAACTGCTCCTTGAGTAGGAGATGGGGGGGAGAAGGTCTGCCAAGACCACCACCTTTCAGCTGGCAGCTCCCTGCGCTGCTTCCTGCTGCCTCCCAAAGGCTGGACCCTCCCTGCTGGGAACAAGAGGACATCTAACTGACAGAGGCCCACGAAGGTATGGAGCAGGAGCTAAAGAGATAACTAGAGAGAAGGTTTCTCACAGGAGGCAAAATAATCACGCGTTGGGGGTGAGGACACAGTCCTTCTTCTCACCCTGTTGGTGCTGGCTAACAGTGTCACCTGCCCCCCTCAGTTAAGCATATAAAAGTGATTTCCCTGACATAACTAGCTTATTTGGAGGGTGACACAGGTGCTGAAACAGAGAAACACTGCAGTAAGCAACAGAGAACTCAGTCCTCCAGTAAGGCTTTCCTTGGTCTTTGTTCTGATTTTTTTTTTTTTTGTTAATAAAGAGAGGAGGGAGGATGGTAAATGATTTATCAGAGGCAGCCAGCCATGCCAGGGCTCTTGTCAGGCGCTCTGCCTTCAGCTAGCTTGGAGGCAAAGCAAGCCTGAGGTCACCGCACCATGGCTGGGTGGGCACCAGGAGGCACCCCGGAGGAGGGCGGTGGTAGCTGGAGCTGGGGCATGCCTGGCAGATGTGGGACAGGGAGCCTTGCTTTGGGCACGCACACAAACTTCCCGCAGCGCGTTGCGTAGCCCGCTCTGGCTCTGCTGGATCCAGGTTTGCGCTCTGTTCACCTGTACCCTCCGCCCCGTGCCCCCAGACACACATTTGCGGATCTCTTGGTGTAGACAGACACTCTTGCTGCTCTCTAACTGCCAGCCCCCCTAGAGCTTGACAGCCCATAACGCAGCTCCCCTGCCAGGGAGGAGAGCGCGCCGATAATTTCACACCAATGAACCTTTCCCCAAGCCTCGTGAGGGCTGCAGAAGCCCGGCTCAGTCTTGCCCCGGAAGAAATACGCAAGACAGGAGTTTGAGTGAACTACAATACACCACAGTGTTTATTAACTCCAGATCAGTGTGATAAGCACAAAGCTGCATACACGGGATATCTCCCCACACTCTAAGCTTGTTCCTTCAGCTTCT